GGGCGTATCCACTGATAGCCTGCTTGTTTGGTGTCGCATCGCCAGCTGTCGTGCCTGGTTCCAAGCGCAAAAGGTTACTGGCTTTTTAATTATATCGACCATTATGTTTTACTATACTTTGTCAACAAAACCACTAGCCTTTTACCGTTTAATCGTTTGGTCAGGATCGATTAGTTTTGTTTTCTACGGCCTTTGTTCTAGTTGCATGAGCGATTCCTGTCAAGCCAACTCTTGATCTTTCCAGGCTCATCATGCCAAGGGACGTCATCGCTAATTTGCATGATTCGTTGACGATACAAATAATTGCGCGCATTTGGCGTTTTCTGTATTGATAAAGCAATTGGTACTCCGTTGTCTAAGTTCTAAATAACGACCGAACAGTTCTGCAAAATTCCCATTTTACGATTGAAAAGTCGTATTGGCAAACAATTGTTTTCGGTCATTCATTTTCAGGCCGGTACATGACATGGGGGATAAAAATGGTCAGTTAATTGCAGCGTTTATATAATCGTCAGGTTGGGGAGGAAGGGGGTTAGTGGGTGAGAGTAATTAAGCAGCTGGGTTTACCCTCGTCTCCTGAATGCGGGCGCCTGCGCGCACAGTTTATTTAAACTTGCCGAAATATGTTAAAACGCTCACAGCTTTTTTAGCTGGTTTGTACCGCCGGCTTTGACCGAGGTCGTCAGTCGGGAAACGAATCAAGGGTGTGTTACTTCTGGAAACATTTCGACAAGACCTATTACTAGCCTGGGGTAGTTGCCCACCCCCACCAGTTCTTATTGCCTTGAAGACACTGAAGGCCTACATTCGGTGACATAACTCTTGTAAATATGCGCATATTCTCAGTGCATATCTCGCTTTGCGTGCGCAATGGCAGGGCTCAAGGTCGCTAGCGGCGGAGCGAACAATGGCAGCTCAAGGTCACCCCCGGCAGAGCTGACTTAATCACGCAGTGAGCTGTACTTTTTTCATTCTTTGGCAATGGGTTCGAGTGAGAGTCCGAAACGTCGGACAAATAAAATATTGGTCCACAGAACGTTTTCCGGCCTTCTATATGTGCATATTTACAAAAATATCCTAATATTTCAAAAGCTGACCCAATCACATCGAACATATTCACCTAAAAATCAAAGACTCGCATTCAACTGAAAACACCGCGGTGATATAAATGTAGATATTTTTCGAAAAAGTAGCCCTATGTTACGAGATCTGGATAAACTAAAGAGGCAATAAGAGTGCGACTGCCTCCGATGGTAAATTTGAGTGAGAATCTGAAGATTCGGGCGAGTAAATATGTTATTCCAGCGATCGCATTTTCTTCTGAATTGCTTCTGTAAGTCACCTCTTCCCTTTTATTGGCGATACTCTTATAATATACTCCGATGTTATACTAGTGGAGGCGTGGTCGATAATTTCACGATTATTTTCAGACTTGTACATACCTGATAATTACGTATAGGATAATACAGGGATTGCCCGTCAGCCTCACTGCCGTCTTAGGACGAACCGTAGGATATACGTGTACTAATTTCTTGGAAGGCGTTTATATTTTCGCAAGTAGTTTGACTTTTCACTTATTCACTGACTTAGAAGTTAAATTTCAGCCTAACGGAGGTTGCTTTTGCAAACCTCTTTCACTTAAACGAGGGCGCACCCTTTTGGAAACACTCGAATTCGCGTGTCGTCTACAACGGGGATCGTTCGTATATAAAGAGTATTGATCCCCACCCAAAAGATTGTTATTTTCACAAAGTTAACTTGAACGCAAATTCTACTGTAGAAAATATTTTTTGACTTCTGAAGCACCACTTACAAGCTCTGAATTTTGCTTATCATGTTTATTTGGCATGGTCACCTACTGTACTCGTAATTAGTAGTTATGGTCATGTTTGGTTTGGCCCACCTTAATTGTCATGAGTAGTTTTCAGAAGTTTCATACGGGTAGGTCTCTCATTTGCCGTCATAATTCCTTGTTTAAATTCACTTCTAGCGCCTTAGGTCTTCGAACGTAAGCGCAGGGCAACAATGGCGAGGGAATGTATCTCTTTAACTTAGCTGGATTGCATACAAGGCAACTTCTGAATTGTCCGTTCACTTTTTGTTTGGGATTGACGGTTCTGACAAAATGCTAGACTGTACTTCGAAAGCCGTTCGTACCTATAAAACTTCTCGCTCATTGTATTAGATCACCCGAGCCTCCATGTTATCCTTTCTTTGCTACTTTAGGCCTCGGCGGAATTTCCTAAGCTCGACGAAGGTCTCTCAAATGGCATACTCCTTCATCAGTCCCCTCAAGACGCTGAAGGCAACGGTGGTCGGCCCTTGGATTGTGACATGCATATATCCTATCGCAATGAACCTACATCATTTGACAAAAATCCTTATGAACCATCGTATGTCCGTATGGGATCTTCTGCATCGGCTGATTCTGTTGTTAAAATCGAAGATATGGACAGTGGGATTCACACTGCCGATACTTTAAACTTAGCTGATGGCCTGCCGGATCGATCATCAAGTTCCGAACTTGTCATTGAAGAGGGCGTCGAGATTCCTCTGGATGACCAGGACCACCTAACCTACGAAGCGCCTGGAATTCATGATGATTTGCTCCAAAATATGGATGGAGATGATCTTGAATCCCGCCATGCAGAATTCATGAACGCTGCTGAAGGTATGGACATGAAGCCCTACATATCCGAAGACGCTCTCCTCAACCTTGGAACCGACTTCAAGAGCTGACTCACGGACTTTCAAAATCAGGAACTGACAAGCCCGCAATTCTTTTTCAGTGTACATATACATCCCCACCCCATCCCCATATTTTCACTCCATGAGATGTATTTACCGGTCATACTGTTCACTTTTATTGTTGCTTTAGTTATTTAGTGTTTGCACGCATTCTAGAAAAAAGTTCATACCTTTTTTATCTCTTGATCAGTAGCTTTTTCAGGTGGCTTTGTGGCTACGGTTGGCCAGACTGACTTCAACCGTCAGGTTCTCGTCCTCGCTTTTTCTTCTAGTAACTGCAAGTGATTATAGCCAATTGTGGGTCTCGTTGTTTGTGAAGGTTAAAGTATTGGTGGTAAACAGTCATGGGGTTCCAGTTTTTTGTTATTTTATAATTTTTAGGCGTAGGGTGTGCTCGTTCTGTCGCTCTTATGTAAGTAGCATTTTGTGTCAGGCTTTCTTCTCGCCTTCTTGAAAAACAAACAGTAAGTTCAGTGCTTTAGAAAAAAAAAACATCTAAAACGCTCACTAATTAATACATGAACCCCCGGTGAAAGTTCCGGATCCGACACATGAAGCATGCATTCCTAATTCGGGCAGCCGCCGGCATGAAGCCGCAGGCTTTGATGTAGAAGTGTGGTCGTGCAAGGATGTGTGTACCATCTCCCACCGGACTGTGGCCTTGGATCTTTTGCTCTGTGGAGCATATCCAATAGGTTGGGGAGGTCCTTTTGAGCTCAGCGCCACGAGTCTCTGACTTCATAGTACACATTGGTCGCCACTCAGACGAACAACAACTGGAGGCCACGCTATCGGATATCGTCGGCTAATGTAGCTACCTGGCTTCTTCGACTATTCTTAAATTGTTGAGTTTGTCCTACGCCCCGAGAGTCGTGACGTCACTGCTCTTCCTGCTTTTCCAGATTTATTTGACAATGAAGTACCCCTTAGCCAAAAAATGGTGTTGGGCAGGTGATCGGTGTGTTTGTCGCAGCTCATTGCTGCATCAGTAGTCACTAACGGAATCAAAACTGGTTGTAGTTTGAAGCCGGAAAAAAGCGGAGACCTCGACCGGTTTGAGCC